GACGCTCTCTGTCCGGAGATTCACGTCTGCACATACAAATCTACATATCAATCCAAGAAACTCATGATCTCTTTTCTTTTTTTTAATCATTTTATGGAACTCATAACATTCCACATATCAATCGTATCAAGTATATTTGTACATATGTTGCCATCATTATTTTCTAAACATTTACTTTCTATTTGAGACCTTGGTATCAGCTTCTCTTTTTCCCCTCATGATCTCCTTTTAAGCTTCTGTAAGGAGTCCTGGTGGCGCAATCCACTAAGCACTAGACTGCTAATGCCATGGCTGGCAGTTCAAGCACACCAGCTACTCTGAGAAAGATGAAGCTATCTGCTCCCATAATCAGAAATGCTACATAGTGTTGCTATGCATCAGAATAAACTCACTGGCAGTGGTTTTGGTACTGGACCCTGTAGTGTTTCCTAAAGTATGAGTATCAGAATCCCCTGAAGTGCTTATTAAAATACAGACCCCATATTTATTCCAAGGGATGTGATTCAGTGTGTCTGCAGTGGGTCCAGTAACCTACAGGTTTTGTTAACAAAGTACTTCTGGCAATCTGATGCAGGTGGCCCTCGTTCCTCTCACGAGGAGAATGAATTTAGAGAACGAATGTGCTTAAGGCATTCCTGCAACTCAATTAAAAACTCTTAGACCAGATGAGCACTCACGTTTGAGACCTACAATTTTTGCCCTTGTCTCTGTGGGTCTGTATCACTGAGGGAGGGTAATAAATAAGACTTCTAGACCATAACAACTGAAAGAGACATGAGCACAGAAAGAAAAGTCTGAATTATCTGATTCCCGCTACTACTGTCAAGTAGGTTCTGACTCACAGTGACCCTAGAGGACCGAGCACAACTGATCCCCAGGGTTTCCAAGACTAAATCTTCATAGGAGCAGATAGTCTCACCTTTCTCTCTCTGGGTATCTGGTGGTTTGACTTGCCGGTCTTGCAGAGTTTGATTAAACAAAAAATAAATGACCCAAACCTACCACGGAGTGAAAGTCAACCCTCTAACACGGTGTAGAAATTCCTCTGTGGGTTTCTAAGCCTGTAACTCACTATGTTAGGTAGACTAGTGTAGGGCTGGGGAATGTCCGTTATTGCATGCCCAGAGGGCCAAGCTACAGGAACAAAGGAGTGGCACACTGCACATGCCCAGAGGCTCAGCTTTCCCACTGGTAGGCATGGGTGGGCATGAACCTGAATTGGCCCACCTAGGCCAGGTGAATTCAATTCAGCCAATGGGGTCAATCAGGGGTCGTCCACCACACCTCCCCGTGGAATCCTTGAAAAGGCAGGAGCCGGGAGAGGAGAACTTAGACTTTTGCGTGATGCTGAGCAGTTTCCAGACAAGCTGTACGCTCGGCAGGAACCCCTCGGGTGCCGTGTAAACCTGAAACTTCTTCTAACTCTCATAAAACTCACTTGGATCATGAACCAGGCTTCTGCGGTAAATTCTTTCTCGCACGGAGCCAAGGACCGAGGTAAATCTAGCTACAGAGAGATCTAACAACGACACTATCCAGATTCCCCTGGAGAAAAATGAAGCAGTCAGCTTCCATAAAGATATGCAACCTAGAAACCTACAGACAATTCTACTCCGTCCTATAGAGTTGCTATGATTCGGACTCACTTCACCTCAATGGGAGTACGTTCCAAAAGAAAAAGAGAAATATTTAAAAGTGTTTATTGAGTTGCTGAATATTTACAAATTCAAAATAAAATCCAACACTAAACCTGGAAACTAACATTTTTAAAGGATTTGCAGAGCTAAATGTGAGCTCTAAGATTTTCCTCCAAATATTGACAATATTAAATTATAAATAGCAATGAGTTTAACAGAAGTACAAAATCAGTTCCTTTGTATATAAGTGATTTAAAGGTATTAACAAAATAACAAGGTATAACAATTATCGAGAAACCATATAAAGCAGGGGTCCTCAAACTATGACCTGCAGGCCACATGCGGCCCACCAAGGACATTCATCCGGCCCGACGGGTGTTTTTGCCCCGTTTGTTTTTTTTACTTCAAAATATGTGCAGTGTGCATAGGTATGTGTTTACAGTTTTTTTTTTTAACTATAGTCCAGCCCTCCAATGGGTCTGAGGGACGGTGAACTGGCCCCGTTTAAAAAGTTTGAGGATCCCTGATATAAAGCAATCCACTAATCAACCCTGTTGTCAGATAAATCTTGATTTAGCTACTACTACTAGGTACTTCTGTCACTGAGGCAGATGGCATGAGCATGATAACTTAGGCTTGATAGGCACTTATAACTTTGGTTTTAACTATGCAAAGGCATTCAAGTGTGGGAATTATAACAAATGACCGACAGATTTGTAAAGGATGTTAACTCCAAACATTTCTGTGCATACGGAACCTGTACATAGGAGAGGGTACCCCCCAAAAAAACCCTGGAATTTTTTCCCAAAGGTATGTATTTACGTTTTTTTTTTTTTTTTACAAAACAACCTTATCACCTTCAAAGTACTCTCCACTACACTTAATACATTCATCAAATCTGTGATTCCATTCTTGAAAACATTTTTCAAACTCATGTTTGGATGGCTGACAGACCTCCCTCCTATTTTTCTTCACCCCTTCAAATCTCTGTCCTTTCATGTCTTCATTTGTGGAAACAAAAAAATAATTCACACAGAGTGAGGTCAGGTAAGCCAGGTGCATGGGGCAAGAGAGGCATGCTGCTTTTTGTCAAAAACTGACACACTGAGATGGCTGCATGAGCAGGTGCATTATTGTGGTGGCAAAACCAGTCCCACATCTGCCACAAATCAGGCCTTTTTTGTCACACATTGTTACATAATCTTTTCAGAACCTCTAAATAGAAAGTTTGATTAACAGTATGACCTGGTGGAATAAACTCCAAATGCATTATCTCCATCACATTAAAAAAGCAAATGAACTTTTTTTAGTCTTGATCTTTGCTGTCTCTTGACAATTTTGGGGGGGGCAAGGTGAGGATGGTGTCTTCCACTGGCTTGATTGATGTTTGCTTTCTGGGTCCTAAGAATAGCACCATGTCTCCTCACCAGTAATGACTTTGGGAAAAAATGTCTTGGTCACTTCAGAGCTGTTCTTTCAAAGCACGGCATGTTTCCATTCGATGCTTTTTTTCCTGGTCAGTCAGAACCTTAAGTACAAATTTTGCAGTGATCCTTCTCATTCCCAAATCTTCTGTTAAAATTCACTGAACCGACCTCCAAGATACTCTAGATAACTTGCCCATCTCTTCAATGGTCCGTACTCAGTGTTGGAGCACAAGTGCACTAATACTGTCAACATTTTCATCTGGGAAATTGATGGACTTCCAGAAGGAGGCTTGTCATCAGTGACATTTCACCTTTTTTGAAATAAGAAAACCACTCAAACACTTCAGTTTTTCCCATAGTGTTGTCCTTGCAAGGTGTGCTCAACATCACAACAGTTTCTCTTAAACCAGCCATCACAAAAAATCGAGGTTCTAGCAAAACTATTTTTACGAAAAAATTCAGTGACCAAAGAGAATCTTCCTAGGCGACACCACTGAGTGCACTAACTCAGAGCCAGTTACTTGATGCTTGCCTAGCGGAAACATGTGTACTATGAAAGCTCCGCCCAGCAGGGTTTTCTTTGAAGAGGTAGGCTTTAGGGCAGAACACAGGTTTAAAATCAGGCAAGGTGTGTGTCAAGGCTGTTTTTTCTCCCCTTATTCAATCTGAATGCTGAGCAAGTAATTTCAGAAAGGGCTCTACGAAGAAGTAGGTGTCATTAAGATGGGAGGACAATTCAATCACCTTGCAGATAACACAATCTTGCTTGCTAAAAGCAAAGAAGGCTTGAAGCACTTACAAAAATCAAAGCCTCCAATAAGGGTTATACTTCAGCCCAAAGAAAGAAAGAAAAAACACTCAACTGAACTAACAGCAACATGCTAAACAGAGAAAAGACTGAAGTCAGGGATTTCATTTTACTTGGATCCACAATCCACCCTCAAGGAAGCGGCAGCAGAGAACTCAAAGGAGGTACTGTATTGGGCAAATACCTGTAGAAGACCTAAAGTGCTAAAGAGCAAATATTTCACAAGGTGGGGCTGACCCGGGCCAAGCTAGTTTCTAATTGCCTCCTATCTGTGAGAAATCTGGGCAATATGAGGAAGGCCAAAGAAGAACGGAGGCCTTTGAAGGATGGTGCTGGCAAGGCATGACGACGATACGATGGTCTGTCAGAAGAACGACTGGATCTTCTAAGAGGCCAGAATACCCCCCAAGAAGCAAGAGGGGCTCATGCCCCTTGGACACCACCTTTATCAGGAGGGACCTAGAGAAGGGCGTCCTGCTTGGTAAAGTGGAAGGTGTCCACAAGATGACCCCTTCAACAAGGTGAACTAACTGACCATGGCTGCAACGCGCTCAGGATGGCTCAGGGCAGGGCGATGTTACCTTTCTTTGTACACGGGGCAGCTTTGAGTCGAGACCGACTCGAGCGCCCTAACAACAACAACAACACAACCTCCGTCAATCATCTGTAAGGGCGGGATAACTAACGATGATGAAAGTGAGACCTCAAAGACCCAGGAAGCCTAATTTGTCCACTGTTAGGTGCATTTCCGGTCTCCTTTCTCTCTCTCTTCTCTAACCCCTTCTCCACCTGTCTCAGTTCCCCAAGTGTCCGCCAGGCCACCGGGGGCGGGGTGCGGGGAGGGCAAATTAGGGGTGCACCTCGCGCGGGTGCGCCTCGGAGCGTTGCCTTTTTTGCCGGGCCCCGGAGCAGGGCAGCGGAGCGGAAACCCTGCACCCTCGTCTGCTCTCCCCAGGGGCCACAATGACCCCACGCTGCGTCGAGGGCGCTCGCCTGGGCCTGCCCCGGCTTCCTGACGGCAATGGGGAGAAGTTCCCACAGCGGCCCCGCAACGAGGCAGTCTTCAGCGCGACTCGCAACCTAAAGCCTAGGCGTGGCTGTGGGGGCCGGAGAGGCAGGAACACTTACCTCACCCTCCTCGGGCCGGGCCGCTTCCGGCCTTCCCGAGTCGCCCATCGCGCAGACTCCGACCGAGCTACAACTGCTACGCCGAGCGACCGAGCGAGCGAGCGAGCGAGCGCGCGCAACCGCCGGGCACCACAGCACATTTGAGCCTTCCGCAAGCCAGCCCCGCCCCCAGCTTCGGAAACCCGGGTCCCGCCCACGCGCGTCCTAGGCCACGCCCCGTTCATGGCAGCGGCACCGCCTTCCGCCGGCCCATTGGAAAACGTAGCCTGCGTCCCGGCCCCAGCCCAATGGCAAGGAGCAAACCTCATCTCAGGGACCCACCTACTCCAGCCGGCCCCGCCCCGCCCTAATTCACCGGCCTCACTTCAAGGATTGCATCCACTGTCAATGCTCATGGAAATAAGTCAAGCGACCAAACGACGCATTGCATTAGGTAAATCTGCTGCACAAGACCTCCTAAAGTGTTGAAAAGCAAGGATGTTACTTTGAGGACTGAGGTGCGCCTGACCCAAGCCACGGTATTGTCCCTGGCCTCATAGGCATGTGCAAGTGGGACACTGAATAAGAATGACCAAAGAAGAATTAATGCACTTGACTTACGGTGCTGGCGAAGGATATTCCATGTACCACGGGCCGCCAAAAGATAAAACAATCTGTCTCGGAAGACGTACATCCAGAATGCAGCTTAGAGGCAAGGATGGAAAGATTTCATCTCACTACTTTGGACATGTAATCAAGAGAGATCAGTCCCTGGAGAAAGACAACTTACTTGGCAAAGTAGAAGGTCAGCGAAAAAGAGGAAGACCCTTAACAAGATGGACTGACATCTTGTGGCTGCAACAGTGGGCTCGAACATAAAACATGCGCAGGACTGGGCACCGGTTTGTTCCGTTGTACATAGGGTCGCTACCAGAATCGACTGGATGGCACCAACACCTTAAGGACCCGCCCATTTCAGGCACCCCCCCTCGCCCCGCTCCACTTAACCAGACCGGTCTACTCTGCTAGGCCCCGCCTACTGCGCCTGCCCCGCTTCAAGGAACCGCCTACTCCGGCCGGCCTTGCCCCGCCCCTGAGCCGGCTGCGCCTGCCCACTCCAACCTGTCCGGCTCCGCCCTTCGGGGGGCCGTCCTCTCAGGACCCGCCTACTCTCGCAGGCCTCGCCCGGTCCACAGCTGAACTTGCTCGGAGGCCATCAGTCTTCACTTCCGGGCCTGTGGCCTTCGGCTCCGGACGCCAACTTTGTACCCTGCTCACCTGGTGGAAGAGGTGCCTGACATGTCAAGTCACCTCTCCAGGTGGGGATTCCCAGCCCTTTGCAGGGCCTCGGGGACTTGGTATGTCGCACCTCCCACCGGAGAAGGTGGAGAGAAGGCGCTGTTGCACGAATTGACGAAGACCAGAGCGGTGAGAAAAAAAACCACCGTAAACAAACAAAAAGTGCGGAAGAGACTGGCTTGGTTTGCATTTAGGCAACCGAAAAGAGGAAGTGGTTGAGGTAAAATGTGTGAATGGGTAGTTGGTGTGGAGAGGGAAATTTTTTTAATTTAGGAAAACATTTTGAAAGCTCTGTGGAATTGTTTTCAACAAGCTAAGCTTTTCGTAACATTAACGGTAGCTAATATTGAGTTTATACAAGGTGACAGGCGCTGTACTAAACACAAAATGTGAATTAACTCCATTAATCTTCAGGACATCACTCTGAAGTAGAATAGCAATGACCCTATTACACATGGAAAGCAGCCCTGGTGGTGGTGGTGTGGGTTAAGCATTGGACTAACCACAAGGTCACCAGTTTGAACCCACTGGCTATTCCAGGGGAGCGTGTTGAAGAAGTCTCTTCCCCTAGATAGGGTTGCTATGGGGTCATAATCGATTCCATAGCAATGAGGTTGGTTTGGGTTTCCAAATGAGGACTTTATGAGTAAATAAGGTTATTCAGCTGAAAAGTAGGTCAGATGAGTTCTTTTTCAAAGTTAAAGTGATAAAGCAAAGGATAGCGATTAGTGGTGACATTTGGTTGAAGTACTAATAACCTTTACTCGGGAACAATCCAAAAGTCACTAAAACAGGGGAAATACCTGCTTAAGTTGAAATCACAAGGACTTCACCTTGACAAGAAATAAGGCAGTTGGACAATGAATAAGGAAGACCACAAAAGAACTGATACATTTAAACGATGGTGTTGATGAATATTGAAATACCATGGTCTGCCAGAAAAGCAAGCAAATATATCTTCAAAGTACAACCAGAATGCTCCTTAGAAGCAAAGATAGCAAGGCTCAAATGTACTTTGGACAGGTTATCAGGAGACCCTGATAAAGAACAAAAAAAGGCACGTTATCAACAATGCTGCACCTTAAACAGCCTGCACCTGTTGTGTGCATAGCTATTTTTCTAAAGTCTGGTAAAATATGATAGAAATATTTAAGCTTTGAAAACCCAAAGCTCTTTACAGAAATGGCCTCAGGGTGGAGTTTCTTTTTCTCAGACATCTAAGCAAGTGCTGTTAATTTAACATGCACGAATTTTAAGTAATAGATACATAACTTCTATGTAGAAAGTGAATCTAGATTTTTGGTAATTACCATAGCAAACTAGGATTCATTCATTCAATCAAATATTCCTACTCTGACTCAGGCATCATGTTAAAAATTGGTATCTTACTAGATATAGAAACTTGTACTTAAAAAAAAAAAAAATCCAAAGCCAGATCAGCAGACTTGAATTCTAGCTCACCCATTTATTAGCATTGTTACTTTGAGAGGTGTCCTGGTGGTATAGTGGATTGAGTTAAACTCCTAAACACAAGGTCAGCATTTCAAAACCACCAGCTGCTCCATGGGAGACTTACAGCCCGGGAGCCCACAGGAACCATTCTACTCCATCCTATGGGGTCAGTATAAGGACTGTATGATAAGGAGTTCGCTTTTTAAGTGCATGGGATGTGTTCAGGATTCCTGGTTGGCTTAGTGTATGGAGTCTAAGGATATGAGTAAAGGGAGGATTCTAGGATGTTAGTAATTAACAAACTAGTCAGCAACACCTTCTACCAATGAAAGGAATAAAATAGATTTAGCAGAAGTGAGTTCGGTTTTTGGACATGTTGAAATCACAGGGACCGTGACATACCCAACTTCATACGTCTAGTGACATTGTCCTGAAATGACTGGCTCAGCAATCGATCTGATCTAGCTCTAGCAACCTCACAGCTACACTTAGCATTTCACGAGACCATGAAATAAAGCAGTTTTCATGTACGTATTGTTTCAAATATTAAAAAAATCCTATCCCCTTACTGCTTGGGATTAAGTTGTTGACATGTCTAAACTAAATGCAGAAGAAAGTACACGAGACCATTTTCTTGTACTCAGTAAATGTTGAGGACAAGTTTTGGGTCAGAGTGAAACATTAAGACTTAAGCATTTCATATATGAGGATTTAAAACAGGGGAAACAGCCGTTACAATAAGGGCAGTAATTTTTGGGATGCATCTATAAGCCAAGGTATGCCAGGAGCCTTCAGGGCTTGACAGTCAATTTGTGTGTGGAAGTTCAGAACAGTATGATTTCAAGTTTCCAGATCATTTATGAATTCATAAATTGACACTGTTCTGAGCACTGGGCTCTAAAAAGTGAGCAAAGATAATTTCTGATGGCCTCTGCTCTTACAGGCTTTGGGGAGATGTTAAACAATAACTAACCACACTAGATTCACGTAGAACGTGGATCTGTCAGGCTTAGTGGGAATTAGAAATGAAGTCTCGGAAATAAAGCTCTGAAGCTTTCTGGGTGAAGTCACAGCAGTTGGAGGACAGTAGCTGCCAAGTCCTTGTCATTCAACTTCCAGAGGTTTACAGTAGCAGGTTAGAAAGTACAGACAGGATGGTTAAGCAAAATTACATTAAAATCCTGGTTCTCCTACTTCAGCTGCTGCCTCCTGTGCTAAATGCCCCTAGATGTTGCTACTAAAAAATTTTAAATGGGAATAAATATTTGCTTTACAATCTTAGGATGCCTGTAAGAAATCCATGAGAAAAAACTTTAAAAAAAAACACCAACTTCACATTCAAGTCAACCAGCTTTTTTTCTTAGTGCTTTTACTATTTCATTATAATCAATAATATCTATTAGTTATCTTTAATTAACAAATTAATACACGTCTACTTGGATCAAGGCTTTTTATTTTCACTTTACGGATGCTCTTTAGATAACCCAAACCTTAATAGCTCTGGATCCCTTCCTCCAGAATGTATGGTTTCAGCAAAATGAAATCCTTTTAAACAGAAATGTTAGCTTTTGGTGTTGGTGCAGTGGGTCATGTGTTGGGCTGCTGGCTTTGAGGTGGGTGATTCAAACCTATCAGCCACTTCCCAGGTTTGGCTGCGTTTTTGTAAGGATTTTTAAGCTTGGGCGCTTTCTGATGCTCTGTAGGGCCTCTGGGTCTGATTCACTTTTTGCTGGATAGCACATCGTCTTTTATGTGGCGACTACGTTTAATGCTCGCAGTATTCAGATTTTTAGACCTGATGCTATAGTAAATGACTATCTTATTGTGCTTCTTGAATGCTTGCTAGCTTCCTCGCTCTTCACTTACCACTTCTAATGTCGTGAACAAGAAAAAGGTGACTTTCTGCCTCTGGAAATCCAATGGGGCAATTCTACTGTCCTACAGGGTATGAATCGAGCTCAAATAATTAAGTTAGTAAACCACAGAAATGTTTTTACAGAGATTAAAAAACAATGCATCCATCCAAGAATATTTAGTTTTGATTAATAAGCCAACTGGGCATGCGTATAATCATCCTTTCCACAAAGGAGCGTAGGCCAGGTTAATGCAGGCTCCAGATGAATCTCACTTCATGGTTTACTAGCTCTAGAACCCCGAGCAGCTGTTCTCTTCTCTGTCTGCTTCTGGGTGAGGTCAGTAGCAGTTCTCCTCTCACAGAATAGCATAATGCACACAGGAAAGCACTTAAAACATTCATACCCACTCAGTTTAATTTAAGTGCTGGAAATACTTTTGTCGCTACCCAGGTAGTCTTTGTCTTCCAGGCAGT